CACATTTTAATTGTTCGCGGTAAAGAATGGCAACGCCGCCTCCACGAGTTCCCGCCCCCGGACGATCGCACCGCACCATTTTATATCCAGGGAATACCAGAAATTTCTTTTTGACGTTTTCAGATAGCCAGGTCTCAGTTAAACAAAAAACGTCAATTTTGTGATCAGATAGAGTCTGCTGGACACTGTCCATGTTGGGCATCAGTGAACGGACATTTGCGTGTCCGATGATCAGCGAACGAGCGGTGGCCGACGGGGCTGGAGCATCGTCATTGCCGGATGGCCGCTGTTGCGCTGAGGTCGGCGGCTGAGTGAGGTGTATCGCCGTCCGCCTGGTCTGGCTGAATCGATACAAATCAGTGACTCTGTTCTCAGCAAGAAAGCAGCTTCCAGTCGTGGCCCATGACTATGGCCCACCATTGTTTGTGTTTACGTGCGAGTTGGAGTCAAGTGCTCCCTTTGCCCGTGCGTGAGCCGGGAGTTGCGTGAGGCGCGCACCGCATGTGGTTTGGTTTGGTTTGTAATTACATAGCATGATACAAACATCACAGGTAAGCGCCTATTGGTAATGGTATATTGAACGGCCGCACCCGGATGGCCAGGGCCTATTTTAACATGTTAACCCGCGCCCCACTGGGGGGGTGCTATTTATAGCCCCCCCTCCCGTTTTTCCGCAATAACTTCCAAACCGCTTGACGGATCAACGCCACTTTCAGTACTTTCAGTACCTTCGGCTGCATCAATTTGACACCTTGTGTCAAAATTTGAACTTCGTAGCTACCATAGGTCGGCCGGAAATGACGTCAGAGTGACGTCATGTTCGTCCGATTTCGACGCAAAACATTGAACCACGGCAATCGCTCCCAAGAGCTCAGTTTTTAAGCTAGATCCAATTTCTTTGCATGAAAGGACTCATAATTGACCGCGCTATCAAACTGCTATCTCGGATTTTCAAAATTTTGAAAATTTTGAAAATTTTATATAATAATATTCAAAATTTATATTTTTATATTTTTTTCCAAAAGTTTTTGACTTTTCGAAAAAACCGGAATATATGTGATAGAACGCATGATTATGACTAACTCTAGCAAGTTTTAGCTAAATATCTTCAAAAATGGCCAAGTTATACGCATTATTGCAAAAAAATTCACAATTATTAATTTTTCAAATCAATTTTTCAGTACGTATTTGACATCGTACACCAATATAAATGGCACCATCGTGTTCCTGAGCTCAAACTGCATCCAATAGACACCTTTTTTGTTGCAAAATGTTAACTTCAAAATTTGACCTTTTTTGACCTGAAAGTGACCTGACCTAAGCTAAATTCGACTCAAAATGACCTCAAATGACACAGACGACATCAAATTCGAAATCTATGGCCTAAATGGACCATAAAACATGTGTCACGTGACCGACGCATGATAAAATATTTCCGTGACCTGTGATGACCTGACCCTGACCTGAAAATCAAAGCACAAGTTTGGTACCCTCAAGGTATCTAAAGCATCTGTTCACGAGTGTGGAAACCAAAAATGAGCATGATCTGACTTGTAAGACGGCGGCCAGAGCCCAAAATGTGAACAAGCCCAAATGCTAATAATTTTTACTTTGACCTGACCTGTGACGTCATCGGTGACCTTGAGGTCAATGAAATTAGGTTTCGCTCGACAGTTTTTCCGGGGCTATCAGACGCCGTTTGAATTTTGACGATCGGCCCAGTAGTTTCGGAGTTAGGAGGGGGGGGCTATGAATAGCCCCCCCCCCCCCCAGTAGGGCGTGTTATACACAGACCCCAGTGGGGCGCGGGTTAACTGGGGTGGCAAAACCCACCCCAGTTGCAGTGGTGCGGTTTTCCACCCCAGTCGTCTTACTTTGCCACCCCAGTGAAAAACAGCCCAAAAGTCTGCCCACAGATATTGGCTGCCGACAATCACGGAGGCGACACATTCTTGGGGCGAACTCAGCTTGACAGTGGGAAAAGGGCTCACTGAGGTGCCACCACCACCATATGGGATGCCCTCTCACTACTAGGGGCGCCCTGCCGCAACTGTGGCGCCCTACTTTTTTTATAAATTTAGCTCGAATGTTTGAATGGACAGATTGACAGAGCCGGAGCCCACGCTAAGCAGAGCTTGTTGCGAAGACTCCGACCCCTACCGTCCGATCGCGCAATTCCGGGTAACGGGATAATTTAGATGCTTAAGTTTAACGTGCCCTTCAAAGCCGGACACAACCTGTCCCACTCAACTGACTTCAACTGGCTGTGGCTGCTCCCACCAACCGCAGACCAGCCCCGTCAGGAGTCTCAAATATTGAGCGCCGGAGCGTCTCGAACCCGGGCTCTCACTACCGGGAGTCCGGTGCTCTACCAACTGAGCTACGGGACTCTACTTCGATTGGGACACACTACCGGCAATGGGGCGCCCTACCAGCATTTGGGCGCGCCTACCACGACTGAAGAGCCTTATCAACATTCGGGCGTCCAGACACGATTGGGGCGCCACACCACTACTGGGGCGCCAACTGCACCTTTGGGAGCCCTATCAGTATTGGCTGCAAAATTAAATTTGTCATGTGACTTTGAGACAGGCCGCGTGATCAACAATGGATTTTCTAACGCACGTGCACGCATTGCTTCTGACGAGGGTATTTCCAAGAGAAAAATCTGGCGGGCGGCGGTTTAACCCACGCCCCGCTGGGGGTCCTGGATTTCCACGCCCTGCTGGGGGGGGTTGAACACCCCCTTCTAAGTCGGCTCCTGGGCCACGTAGCGACACGCGGTAAGCGGCATCCGAAAGGACGTCAAAAACCATGACGAAAATACCCACTTGTCATTTTTTAGGTCAGGTCAAAGGTCAGGTCACCAAAGGTCATCAAAGGTCAAATTTTGTTATTTCAACATTTTTCGAAACTGCCGACGGACAACTCGGAAACCAATAGAGCTACAGCGCCGCGGAAAAGCGCAATCGATAGCTCTTTTACAGGACTTTCTGAGTAATGTTCTCAGGTTTGACCTCAGGTCAACGGTTTAGCCTCCAGAGTGCAAAAACTTCAAAAATAGCCGCTTTTTGGAAAAAAATGTTTTTCTTCAATAACTTTTGGCTCAAGAGAGACACGACAGTACTTTTGCCAGCATCGTGTTCCTCTCGTCGAGACGCGTCGAATGAACTATAATTTGACCTTGAAAGGTCAACTTGAAAATTTGACTACATATCAAGGTAATGACCTGACCGGAAAGGGTCATGTTGCATATCAGTCGATCCGTATCGTCGAGCCAAACACATCTGAGGCGTTTTCATCGCTCTAGCTTGCCTCTATCAGAATTTATTAGCGAAAAACTGTTAGATACCATTCGTGACCCGATATGACTCGGGGGCATAACGAGGGGTCACGGGTGCCATTTTCTGGTTCAGCGTGTCATGTTAACTCGTAATTCAGTGTTTGAAAATGTTTAAAATGGCGTCCATCTAAAAGAGGCGCTTTTCAATTCTCTCCCATTGACTTATACCTAATGGAGAGGTCGAAAAATTGACCTGACCTTAGGTCATCTATATCGAAATTTCAAGATAAAGTGACCTGGAGACTCGAGTGACGCCGGCTGCTTGGTATGGGAAGGTGTTTATCATGGACGGATCGGGGGGGGAGGGATTTGAGGGCCATCGGCATAAGCAGTAAAAGTTCTCTGACGAAAGGGGGTTGCACCATGCACAGCCGACTTTTGGCTTAATTCTTTCCATGCATCGCCCGAAAGGGCTATGTTAGAAAAAAAACTATGCCAACAAAGGCCTCCAGACACTTTCCCGAAACGTTAGCCGTTACGTACCACCGTCACAAAGAAGAGATTCTGAGACTCGATTGTGACGCCCCCCCCCCATCGAAATGCTGCGCACAGCAGCATTTCGGTGGGGGGGGGGCGCCCACACAAGAGACAGGGGCGCCACCACTGCCTGGCCACCCCAGTCCAATTGTCTTAAAATAGGCCCTGCGGATGGCACATCGCCGGCTGAAGTGACGACTTCCCGAGTTAATTTTTAACATACGCTTTCATATTTGAGTTGGAGAAGCTCGGTGGTTTATCTGATAAGTTGTAAACCGACTGATCGATCCGCAACTATTTTATAGCATAGCGTCCATTTGAGCGTTGTGCTGTTTGCAGCTTGCATCATGCACCACTGAACCATGCGCTGATCTTTGAGAACCGTTTGAGTTGAGAATGAGTATTGTAATTCGTGTCGATGTCGTCGATCATTCCTTGTGGATTTCCGTCGCCCACTGGCCGAACCTTGACGCATCAAGCCAAGAGTCATGGCGGTCAAGACGAAACAATAGTTCCCTTTTAAATCATCGGTCAGAATAGCTGTCGTCATCCCGATTCCCGCAAGCCAGTTCGCATTTTCGATGGTGTTTAAAATACGGCCAAAACAGCAGGACCAATCACAAAAGTTTCTGCACCGTTATAGCCCAATGTCCATTGTCTACTCTGGGCATATTTGGTCAGATCTACGCGGCTAGAAAAAAGGAAGTGATGCCACCTTATGCTTGAATACAATGTGATACAAATCATGCATACCACAAAGTGCAAAGCCTTGTTTATGACAACTGTTCCTTTTGTAGCTAAGCGCCGACGGATTACAAAGCTCCACATTGTTTCATTTCAGGCAATAGCACGCCAACATTGCACTCAAATGACCTAATCGATACACCCTGTCGCTGCTGCACTTATGGCCAATTCAGTCGGCAGCCAAAACACCGTCTCGGACCCGAACTCTGCAATGCATACTGCATACTGCATATAGGTTTCCGTGTGTGTCTGTATGTGCTCCAGCCCTTGCCTTCTGGGGCCGTGCCGGTTAGTTCGGCTGGTGGCCGCCGGGGTGGGGTGGCGCTAGTGTGCCGTGTTTAAATGCCGACGTCGCTGGCGGCGGGGCTACTCGTCGGCAGCTGGGGAGGTGCGCGCGCTCGGACCGCCAGTAACAGTGCACGGTCGGCGCCGGCAGGTCTCCTACTCGTCCCGTCCAGCACACAGCACACACCATGGGTCACGCCTACTATGAGTTCCAGCACGTCGAGCTCGCCAACGTCGGCAGCGGAAAGAAGAGGTGAGTACCGACTAGCCTTCTTGGCGGTGTTTGATGTTTTTTATTCACAACATTTGCAATTATTAATTAATATCGGTTATGTTATATCGTTATGCACAGAGCTGGACCAGTTCTCGATTTGTTTAAAAATCAAGAAAAATTTGAAAGTTTTTGTTGGTCCACAAGGGCTTCATCAACTTAAGAATAATCGTGAGGTTTGAATATAATCAAATTAGAATTACTGAGCTGTGTGTTTTGAATCCTACAAACCGTTCCTACGACCCTGTCTGTCTCGAACACTGGCGGATCCAGAAAAGGGGTCATGGACGCTGCGGGAGGCATGCCCCCAACTCAAAAAGTTACTCCAATTTCCAAAAACTCCCCGGATTGCGATTCCTTCGCATTGCTGAGCAGTTGAGCGAAAACAAACTTTTCCAAAGAAAAGTTGTTAAATTTCTTTTATTCTCGAAAAGCGCAAATTTGGTTGATTTCGGTCATACTGGGAGGCATTTACCTACACCAAATGCCCCCCCCCCCCCTCACTGGATCCGCCAATGGTCTTGAACAAAGTATATTGAATCGAAGTGTTTTGCCGAAACACTCACAATTATAAATATAATTTGCCTCCATACCTAACCTAGCAGGTCTATGATGAAAATTCCTGTTTCAGCGTGACATTAGCACTCGAATTATTATCCCTATTGCTGAGTTTTGTTCGATACATGTAATTTGTCCAAGGAATTAAAAAAAAAAGACTCAGTAAGTACCTGAGAAATGATGGTCTAAGTTATCAGAATCGAAATTAATATTGCTTACGGCAGAGACGGCGGCCTTTTACAATTCGTTTCATGGTTGAGCCGTTTATTTCAAATGATAGTGTGCTGCAAAATCACCACACAATGGCTACGACGTCCAACACAATGCGTCATATGAAAAAGCTGTACTGTTTTCCCTTCTTTCTCGTTGCTTTGATTGATGGTTGATTGACAGTCAAAACATTGCCCAAGGTACTGTTCAACTGTCATCCGCATATACACCGGCACAATTAACGGGCGCTCGGCTCTGCAAAAACATTATATTTTCTCTCGCTCTAGTCTTTCAAGTTTCAATCGATTCGAATTATATCTCGCCGAAGATAAAGATACGATAAAAAGCATGTAGGTATGTATTTTATGACAATAATTTATCATGAAAAGTGAATGAAAGACTCTAACGATTATTGCCGGGAACTGTTGAAATGCCAAGCGGAAAGGTCGTACCCGTCACGTGCCAACAGCACAATCAAAAACATTTCCCTATCCAGCAACTGCAGCACTAACAGCCTGGGGATTTCTAGAGAATGTAAGAGTAACGGGTCCTGGGGCACCGAGTCCATGGGTGTGACAAATGGGGACATGTGTCACCGTCGGCCGACGTGACGCGTCAGCAGCTCCTCCGGCGTCACGTCACGTCACGTCCGGGCCGTGTGACGCCGTGTGACGGCCTTTTTGCCCGGTCCGTTCCGCGCCGTCACAGCCGCCGTGGGAACCGGCAGCGCCGCCTCTCCAGGCATATTGTCTTTTTGTGAGACTGCCGGCCGGTCCTTTGAGTTTGTTCGATGGAGCGGCGGTAGGAGAGCGGTGGAAGGAGAGATGGACATGCTTCGCTCCACCGGCTGACCGGCCGTGGGTGTACTGTCTCCAGAGACACCCTCATACGCCGGACACGCGCCGTCCCACTCTGCCGGCCCGGGTCACCACTCTGTCGGCCCGTGTTTATCTCTATCCTACACCTCCAGGATTTAGTCGGCCGCGCGGGGCCTGTCGCTGCAGCTGTCCGTTTCTGTATGCAGTTTTTCACTCTGTATCTGCAGCAGTGTCTGTCTTCACGACCACGGTTCACCGGCTCGTGCAGCGCCAGAGGTCACCGCAGGGGTCAGCACAGAGGTCGTGCACGACACCGCATGGTGTGTGACGTCCAGTTTCCGGCGGCGACAGTCCAAGACAAGAGCAGCGGCCTTTGACCCGACCGGAACGAGCTGACGCAAAGGGTTGACAACCTACGGTGCTGCCCTGCAGTCGCCGTGGTTCAAATCTATGGCTCAGCAGTGCGATGGATATCCGTGGCAGCACAATGGTCCCCCAGTGGAATGTCAAGTTGCTTCGTTAGACGTTCAAGATGTTTCAACTCGATGCGCGCAGCTTTGCATATCGGCGTACTTGGAGTCCGCAATTACTAATGCTTAGTAAGCTAGGAATTCATCTGAACAAACAAAAGCATCATCCATCAGGATACAAGTTCTCAAATAACTTACCGATCAAATGTAGCAAACATTGCTTCGCACCTCATTAATCAAACCCAGAGAGCCCGGAGTTTCATCAAACAGCGTGCGCGGCGCGTGTGGTACGGATATACTGTTGAATACCGTCTCACCCCTATTAACGTCTCGCCATGCAAAATTAAGTGTTTGTGCAGCTACCAAGCAGACGTGCTGAGCCGTCATTATTGCGTCATCGTCCCGACGCTCAGACAGTTTACATATTGCCGCCGCGTTGGAACATGCTAGCAAGTCACGATCTCGTTAGACAGAGTGCTGATGTTGCCCGTCCGTGGAGCGTTTCTGTTGAAGTGTATAACGGTAGCCGCCCGACCGCAGTTAATTACTGAGGCGGCAGTTAATTTTGGAGAACGGCTGTCGGTGGCTTCTTCTCACCTACCGTCCGCCGTTTGCAGCCTGTTTGTGGCCGGCTTTCCGGCTTTGGTTTCGATCTCTCGTTGCGGCCGAGGTTTACTTTCGATCCTGTGTGGCTGACTGGCTGTCAGTTGGGCCTGTCGGGGTGACTGAAAGCCGCCGAGGTGTCGATGCCCCCGCCGTCAGCGGCTGGCGCCCGTTATCGACGTGTGTCTGTGCGTGCGGCGCCGGCCGGCTCCCCGGCCGCGTGTGCCGGCGGCGGCGGCGGCTCGGTGTCGGTGTCGGCGAGGGCCCCGGTGTCGGCACAGACAGACGGATCGATAGCTCCCCTGTGTGACGGCCTCTCCGCCCCCGACTGGTAATTACACGGCCTCGGCCCCGGCCGGCCGGGAAGGGTTGCGCCGCCCTCGCCGCCGGCCGGCCCCGCGAACCGCCGGGAAACCCGTCATCGGCTGCCGACCCGCCGGCAGGGTGGTCCGACGACTGGGCCGGTGGAAAGGGCTCATTGTCTCCGTCCTACCCCTCTCCGGGGAGGGACCCTTGACTTGGTTATCGCCGGGAGATAACTCACGGCCGACTCACCGGACCGCTCGAATCACTTCCTACCCCTAGCGGATCGAGGAAATGGCGACCCCAGGTGCTCGGTATCCAGCCACTCAACGTGTGGGTCCGTTCTGACTTATACACTCTGATTTCGAATTCCTGTCGCGTTTCCACGGTAGTCAAAGCGGCGATGAAGCCGATACCGCTCCCGACGCTGCGTCGTCAAATTCCGAGGGTTGTTTTGTGTTTTGGCGCCTGCGAACACGGTCGAAGACGGCCGAGTCCGCTGAGCGAGCTCGGGTGATGGATGGGGGCGATACGGGGCGACATTGTGCAGCGATACCTGCCCAGCCAGCCGTCGGCGGCCGGCCGATGTTGTGTCGATACCGCCGACTGCAGCGCGGAGACGGACTGGTCCGAGACGGCCTGTCCTAGTGATGGATGTCCGCCTCTGACTCACCGGCCGACGACAGACCAAACAAATCGGCCGGGCCGCGACAAACAGGGCACCGAGCGGACAGGCGTCCAGCTCCGCCTCCGCAGCGGCGCGCGGGACAGCTCGCAATCGCAGACAACATTCGTGAGCCGTGCGTCACCCCGCCGACCAAACACCAAACAAGTCGTATGACAGTTTGGTCGCGCTGGAATTCACCCCACCACTGCCTTGTCCAGGCCCTCCGCCAGACACCCCGGTTCGGCCTGATCCTGTCCTCAGACAAACTGGCCATTTCGCGAATCGCACCATATGGTGACTCACGATGTGGTTTGTTCGGCGAACGCCCTCAGAATATGACGCATCGATCGGTGACGGTCTGGAGCCCGTGGCGGTCGGCCGTCAGGTGCCATTACGGCTCCCCAGACGACCGTCCCTGCGGCGCCCCCTTCATGGTCACCCCAGTAGTAATCTCCCAGCGGGGCCCCGGCAATGTCCCCGACAATTGCCCCGATAGGGTGGGCGTCGCCTGCAGTCCGCTCTGCCGGCCGATTGTTCCCGAGAGACGCCGATCGGACGGCGAATCATGAGCGTCATCCCCAGCACCGGCGGACGCGGGTCGCCCGAGCGTGTCGCTGTATATTGGGGGAGCGGACGGACGGCGGACGGCGGACGGCGGCGGCAGGTGGTCCTGGGACGGGCCGTGACCGGAGACGCCGCCGCCGCGCCGACACCAATTAGACGGTCAGCGGCGTCAGCAGCGGCGCCGACGGTCACGGGGCAGGTGCGGCCGGAGCAGGCAGGCGTGATGCCCAGCCATCGGGCCAACGGGGTGCGCTCGGCTGCAGCGGAAGTGTGCCGCGACGCCTCGTGCCCCGCTCAGCTGGCGTGTTAAATTGTGTAGGGGCGTCTGCACGGCCTCCTTTCCGTGCTCGAGTTTAGTGATTGCATGTTCTAATCGATTCGGCCTGGTTACAGCCTGTTTTCCTGTTTTCCCCGATCACACCGTTCGTAATGGGCGCAGCTGACAGACGCTGACACCGTGTCTGAGGCTCTGTGGCACGGTGGGACCGTGTCTGTCTGCCTGTCTGCAGTCTGCCCCTCCCGTCCCTCCCTCTCTCCGCTCACCGGCTGTCTGGGACCGCCGCCCCGCGGCGCCGACCCGTCTAGCCACTGCGAAAGGGGAGGTATTGGGTCACGGCTCCGTCCAGCCGGTCTGCGGTGCTCGGTCCTCGCTGCCGGCGAGGGCACCTTTTATGGACCTGCGACAGGCCAGCTGAAGTTTGTGGGCTGCGACCACCCGCACGGCTGACCTCGCATTGCATGTTTGGCACAGAGGCGGACAGTCTCAGAGTCAGCGCCAATTACGTTTGACGGAATTGAATGATATTGACTGATATATGCGGCGGCCACATCAAAGACTGACTTCCGACCAGTTCGTGACGCCGTCTCAGCCGTTCCGTGACGCGCGGCCGCCGTCGTGACGCACCAGGACGCGCCGTGACGCACTGGGACACGGTGTGACGGGCCGTGTCGTACCGGCCGACGCCGTGACGCCCCGTCACGGCGCCCGTGACGACTAACAGCGGTGTCACGGCCGGCGGGTCGGCGCGCTCGGCCGTGGGGAGTGACGAGGAAGTGGCGGTGACGCCGCCGGGCCCGGACACCGCCGACGGACACCCCCGGCGGCGGTCGTGATCGCAGCTCGTGGCGACTTCCCAAAGTCGCTCACGGCCGCAGTCGCCTTTTTCCGTTTCCGGTCGGTGGCATATACTATACATTTGGCTGCTTCGTAATTCACCGATGTTTGTCAGGCCGCTTTTTAGTTTGGTCGTGATCAGAGTCATCATGAACCCTCTGGCTTGGCCTAGTTATTGACAAAACTTCCGCGACCGTCCTGTCTATCGAAATTGGTTCACCGATGGACTGTATAATCCGACACGTTCGACCGACCCTACCTCTCAATCGGTACCGGTCCGACGCCCTGCTCAGTGGTTGTGAGTGGTGATGCGCCCCGTTAACTGGCGAGGTGCAGCGCCGGCCGCCGCCGCTGACCCGGTAGCTGTCGGGCTGCCGACCCGCCGGCCCCGGCCCCGGTGAGACGCTTTATGGCCGCCGCTCCGGTCAGGGTGCCCATCGGCCGGCGCATTCCTGTTCCGCACCGACTGTGAAGTGGCTCGCCTTTTAGCGGCACCCGCTGCCGGCGGACATCGCATCAGCCATCGGGTCAACTCAGAGCAGCCTCGTATGGAGGCGCTCCGTGGGCAAAAACAAAGGAAAAACATAGAAAACAAAAGAAAGAAGCCTCTTCACATTGTCCAGTACCTATGCTATCGCAACATCAAATGTGTTTCTTCCAGCGCATTTTAGCACTCCTCGTACTGCGCCTGCCTCCTGTCAAGTTATTTTGACAGTGGAATTAGCTGTTAAAACACACGCACTCTTATTGAGGGGTGGCACGTGCAGGATAGGGGAAGGAAGGGGGAGGGGAGAGGAGGGGAAGGGGAAGGGGTGCCCACCTGCCGGCTCAGGTGACAGTCAGTGGCCAGCGCTCGCCGAGGGGCTGGGGGGGGGGCGTGGAGGGGGGGGCGAAGGCTGGGAGTGGCGCGTGTCGACGGGGGCTAATCCGGGGTAGGGCTTCAGCGTATGGCTCCACCGCCGCAGCGGGTCTCTCCCCTTCCTCTACCCTCTCTCTCTCTCTCTCTCTCTCTCTTTCTCTCTCTCTCTCTCTCTCTCTCTCTCTCTCTCTCTCTCTCTCTCTCTCTCTCTCTCTCTCTCTCTCTCTCTCTCTCTCGCTCGCTCTCTTTCTCTCTCTCTCCCCTTTTGTCCCTGGCCCCTCTCCCACTCAATTACATGCACCCCTCGTTTTCTCTCGTTCCCTCTCGATAACTTATCTTTGTTCTCGCCCTCTGAGCGGCCGGAAGCCGCGCTGGGACTGTCGCACACCTCGTCCCGTCTTGTCCCTCCTTTGAGCCCGACCTGCGGTGCCCAGGGGAGCGGTGAGCAGGCGGTGAGAGCGGTGAGCTGCGGTCTGCCGGCCTCCCTCCTCTCTCCACCCTCCGCCGCCCTCCAGTGCGCGCGGCTCACACTGTCTTCCGCCGGACATTTCCGACGCTCCGTGCGCGGGCCAATTGGTGCTTGACCGCTCATTTCGTGGTCACTGGACGCGGCAGCAGCCGACTGTGACTCCCCTACGCCGAACGCGGCTCTGCCGGGTTCTATTATTAAACATTTTCACTCTGTACCTAAGGAGTTAAGTGGGAGTAACCCTCTCTAAGGTTATCCGCCCCGGCCTGTCCCCCGGTCAGTAATGTACCCGGGCATGTCCGCAGCCGTTCGCCGCACCTGGGCAGCTGTGGCGCGGCTGGGACAATTACTGCGCACATGGCTTCCGGCGGCGTCCGTCAGAAGTGCGCCACGTCCGTCTCGGGCGCGGCGGCTCTGTATTGTGGCGCCAGCTGGCCGGCCATTTTCCCATCAGTCGGCGGCCGTCTCGGGGACAGCGCCGGTCGGTGTCCCCGCGTAACTGCGGACACAATCACCCCAGTAATGGGCGCCAACCCTTTTTGCAGGCAGTCGGTAATGACCGTAATTGGGACGATTCAGAATCTGGCGACCGGTTGTTCTGCGACTTAATTCGCCGCGATTGGCGGTCTGTGCGGGGCGGGTTAGGAGAGACGGCGTCCCACGCACGAGGTGCCTCGCTCCGGTCAGGAGTTCGAGAAAGTCTGCCCGCCCGTCAATGACATGACCTCCCGGCCCGTCATTTCTGCGACCCAATGGTCAATTGTATTGTTTTCCTTCCCCCAATACTGGTCAATAATGGACGTGAGTGGTGCGTTCGACTTCTTCGGAAGACAAGGCCGATTTTTACCACGGTGTCAGGTTTAATAAGGCGTGAGATATGCACGCAAACGTTTGTTCCTGCGGTTTTATATCGGTGAGATTCGGCGCCAGTCGAGTGCGACCGTGATTAGATGTCCGGAAACAATTGACGCCCCGGTAAAAACGGCGGCTCGATTGCGCCAGAGCGCTATTGTACGCGACACGACTCCGGCGTCATTATGAGTCAGGCGATTGAGACACCGCGGGTTCGTGTTCACACGATCTGTCTAATTTGGAGCGCCGGATGGACACGACTGGCCGACGCTACTTTTTACCACCGCTCCGGGAATTAAGATACACGCGAGATATTAGCAGGAGCATGAGGAATTAACACGTCTATGTCGGGTGGGATAGGAAATAGATTAGCTCGCCAAACGATGACATGACACCAGGAGGAAAGCAGGCCCGGTGCCCCCGCTAATTTCTCACGCTGGTCCGGCACGCACGGCTGTCCGGTCAGTACGCCAGCTGACCCGGCCGGCTCTGACGGTTCGACACGCCCGGTGACCGGTGACCTGCTGACCTTTCAGACAGCCGTACGCGGGGCTCAGTGACCTGCTGACCAGCGAGCCTGCAGCGCCCTGCGAGCCACGTCCTCCGTCCAGGCAAGCCCTTCCTTCTCCTCCCGTCTCCTCCCTTTGTTGAAAGTCATTCCAAATTCCTTCGTTACCTTCCAGTTTCCACCTGAAGTAAAAAGCGCCGTTGCTCTTAAGTTGCTTTACCAACACATTTGACGTAGGAATTTTTTCTCGAGTTTCATGAAACATTATTCAGTAAATTGATACAAGTGGACTTCTGCGTTTGTTGACTTGACCTGCTTACTTTGACTGTCGTAAGTGATTTTTATGACGCATTTGTAACCCGCGCACCGACGGGGGTCTGCGCCAACTTCGCACCGACGGGGGGGGGGGGGGCGGATGACCGCCCCCACCCTGAGATCTCGAGAACGAAGCAAGATACCGACAAGCGGTAAACGGCATCGGATACGCACGGCCAAGATCTACAATTCTTACTAAGGTCATTTTCGGGTCAGGTCAAAGATGACGTCACAGGGGTCGAAAAAGTCAAAATGGCGGCGCTAGATATGGAGAGTTTTTCTCGAATAACTTTCGAATTAGTCAAGATAGGAACAAACTAAGGGCATCATCGTGATCCTCTTGTCAATCCGCATCGAATGACATATATGTTGACCTCGAAAGGTCAAGGTCAAAGGTTGACCTCAGGTCACGTGACCTCGAGGTCATCATGTATATCATTCGATGCGTCTTGACGAGCTGAACACAATGAGACCATCCACGCGTCTGTATCTTGTTCCTGTACGGAGTTATTGGCCAAAAACCTTTGGTGACCTTTGATGACGTCACATGACCTCACAGCTGCCCAACAGCAAAACAGACCTCAAGGTAGTGAAGGTTGATCGTATATGAAGTCATGTATGGTATATGGGGCCATTCCGACCCGTTTTAGTGGTGAAAACAGGGAGTTGATTTTTCCCCCATTGACTTATAATGTGGAGGTCGCGAAATTGACCTGACCTATATCCTGCGACTTTCAAAAGCCTCCGACATCTACTGTAGCTCTGGCACGGTGACAAAGTTGCAAAAAAGTGACTTGAGGTTGGGTCATTCAAAGTGACCTGGTGACCTGACCTTAAAAGGTAGGAGGTTCAAACTTGCACACCATGTGTAAAATTGATGAGGTTATAGTCATACCAAATTTCGCGGCGCTACGCGCCGCGGTTTTCCCGCTATTCGCGAAAAACCTCAGGGGGGGGGGGGCGGATATCCGCCCCCCCCGTCGGTGCGCGGGGTAAAGTAGGTGCGAACATAACTCAATACTTACATTTCAATCCGCAGCCGTTTCTTTGACTGAGTAGTGTTGCTTGGCTAATATTTGTCATTATTTGATTTATGGATACCAGCACCGACCTGATTCAATGCTACCTTGGATAATGTTTGCCCGAACGGTGCGACAACCCAGCTATCAACACCAAGTGGTGCTCTAACCTTGAAGCCAGGACTTGTGAAAGATCAACACCAATACGAAGTCTGCAGCCAAAATTTACCAAACAAATGCGATCCTGTCATTTTGGGGTTCCAGTTGCACTCAAAATGCATCTGCAGCGGGGGCTCAGCACTCAGCAGGCAGATAAGAGCGTCAGGCACGCCGTCTTCTCTCGCCCTCTTCTCACCCACTCCGTCTCCCTCTTCTCACCCACTGCGTCCCCCTCCTCTCACCACTGCGTCTCCCTCGTCTCACCACTGCGTCTCCCTCCTCTCACCACTGCGTCTCCCGCCTGTCCCACAGGGTGAGGAACCCGCCCGGCGGTCCGACCAGCAACATTTTCGCCGCCGAGGAGGTGACGCCGCCGCGATCCAGCCGGACCAACAAGATGGCCTCGAGCATTCCGTTCGGCGTCGACTGCGTCGACTCGCCGCCGTCCAGCACCACCTCGTCGCCGCCGCCGACGCCCGTCAAGCCAGGTGGGTGTCCCCGGGGTCAGCGGGGGCGAGACGGCGACCGGGACCGCGCCCCGGGGAAGCCGGGTAAATGTAAACGGATGAGGTCACTGGGAGAGATTGGAAATAGCGATGGAGTTTATTTGAAGGCTATGAATCGCACGCTCGATGTAGCAGTATACGATCGATACTAACTATGTGACTCATCAAGTAATGCACTGGTTAAACCGAGCAAGTGCCTAGTTTTGTGCCTACGATCTTTCTGCATCCTACATTCAACAATATAATTCCGTAGCCCTTGTCCTTGACCTGTATCCCGCTCCTGAGAGCTGACGATCCTTCCTTCGCTATCGCTGCAGCCGGGCTGCCTCGGCCACAGGCCAGAGACCAGTGTCCTGCACCCGTCCTGGCCCCAGTCACCGAGGAGGCGTCCGATCCCGTCCCTCGGAAAGGTCGGTGCAGCATTGTCCAATGTCTGTAGTCCTTACCTGAATCCTGAGTATATCTCTCCTCTACCTTCGAGCATTTGACTGCATTTGGCCTGTGAACGGGCCGCCACCTGAGTTGGATCGTAGGACTAAAATCGGATGACGGTATGACCTTCTGCGGGCTTGACACCGAGACACATGTACTTCAAGAAAGGACGTGCCATGTGAGCCATGAGTCACTCCTTATCAGCATAATCAGCATGTCGAGCATGGAAATTAGTGACCACACCAACCGCTGTCACGCCTTAATCACAGTGTTATGCTGATCTCCGCAGACACCATGAAGATCCCAGCTTGTTGACGCGATGGTATCACTCAGACACGGTGCGTCGCCAGATAATCTGACAGGCTCCTCTCTCGTTTCAGCCTCGCCGAACCCGGTGACGGGCCAGGGCTACGAGCCGGCCGAGGTGATGAAGAAGCCGACGCCGCAGCCGGCCGCGGCCACCCCCCGCCGCCGCATCCCTCCCGGCGGCTACTCCAGCCCCCTGTGGTGAACGGACCACCAGCACCGACACCTGGCGGCCCGACCTGGAAGCTCAGGTCCGACCGCCCGCCGCGTGGCGGCGCCCCGATCGCAGCTGAGACTGCAGGCTCGCAGTCTCCGCTCGCGTTCACCAAATCATGTCAATGTGTTAACTAGATCATAAACACCTCGCACCACCACTATTGCGACGTAGTGGCTGCTTGAAGTATAGTGGCAAATTCGCAATAACGCTACGAAGAATCGGCCGAATACCTAATCGTTTAGGTCCATATTCCCCGGCAGGCAGGTTCCGATCGCGTGGGCACCGAGGTGAATCAGTGTGTGTGTTCCCTCGCGAATATGATGTAATTTGTGGTAATTCGCCTCATACTGGTGAAAATTGGAGGTGTGTTTAGCAAGTGTTGTATTAACTTTCCGTTTCTTTTGTATAAATACATGCTTTTATAAGATGCCGCTGTTTAAGCCCAGCAGTGTTGTTGCCACGAGCGAAATCCGGACTTATAAATCAGTCCGTCAGCTCGCAGAGAACCCTGTAGTAGGCTCTAACCTTTGGGCGGTGCCCCCCCGCGGGTGCGGGACCTCAGGCACCGGACGCAGGCAGTTGTACCGATAACCAAGGCCGTGTGGCTGTCCGTGTACCTACATCCTGGTCCCGGATCGCGGCAGCTAACTGGCTGCGGTGGCGTCAGACCAAGGTGAAGGACATCAGCGGGAGGAGAGCGAACGAGCTGTGCGTGAGGCGATCGGAGGTGCTATTCAGGCATGAGCACTGAAATGGGCATGGGTCCGAGCTCTACGAGAACTCAGTGGATCTCAACAAAAGGGAGATTAGAATCCAAATTAGGCATTGGATCCCACAAGGAAAATATGTGTGGGATTTATGAACTGGTGGATCTAGCAGCAAAAGTTCTAAAATTAAGTTTCCAGATAATATGCGTGAATATGAAGCTCAATTTCTGACCATTCACCGCGACGTTGTATTTCAATTACATATTGATAACCAGCCAGCTAATAAATCACAAGTTATGTACCTATAAAATCTCTATTAGAAGCTGTCCGACAGTTCGACCTTCTCCAGATCCAGTGCCGTGCCGTTGCCGCTGACGCCCTGCAGGTCACCGGCGGCCTTCTTCCTGCTGGTTCTGTTCTCTATGTCGACGGCCGTCTCCGGCAGCGGCTGGTTGTTGGTCTCCGGCAGCAGCAGGGTGGCCAGCCCGGCGGCCAGCATGGCAGCGCCGAACACGGCCGACGGCGCCGCCGGGTGCAGGTCGCTCACCAGGTCGACCACGAACGGCGCCGCGGCGCCGCCCAGCCGCACGCCCGTCTGGCAAACGCCGAACGCCAGGCCGCGCACCGTGGTCGGCATGCACTCGCCGATCAGCACCCAGACGCCGACGAAGGCAGCGCTCACGCCGAACTTGGCCACCAGTCCGAGCGCCATCCAGACGGCGGGCCGCCGGTCTGCCAGCACCAGCAGCATGGCGCCGGCGCCGGTCAGCAGGAAGGCCACCAGCGAGCCGCGCCGGCCCAGCCGGTCCAGCAGCGGGAACACGCAGTAGGAGGGCAGCTCCACCAGCGCCGACAGCACGGCCGCCAGGTGCGGGCTGGCGCTCAGCTGAGTCATGTCGAACGTCACGCCGAAGTAGGCGCCGCAGATGACGAAGCTGATGAAGAAAGCGACCGCGGAGTAGCGGACGAGGATCGGAGAGCCGACCAGCTGCCGCCAGCCCTGGCGGCCTCTGCCGGTGGCCCGGTGCGCCGCCGCCTCGCGCGCCAGCAGGCTGTCTCGGACGCGGCGCATCTTGGCCAGTACCTCCTCCTTGGGCGGCATCGGGTGACGGTTGCAGCGTGCGCCGCGCTCCAGGATAGTGTACGCCTCTGCGAACCTGCCCTGCACGACCAGCCAGTGCGGCGACTCGGGACGAAGCCAGAAGTTGGACAGCAGGAAAACGAAGGGAACCGCGTAGGCCAGCTGGAGCTGCCGATGCGAGCGGAGCGCGTACGAGCCGGCCGCCACCAGCATGATGCCGAAGGGGAACGGCAGGCCGGAGAGGGTGCCGAAGGCGGCGCGGGTGCGCCGGCCGGCCATCTCCATGGTCATCACCGTGTGGCAGCCCACCAGAGTGGCCATCGCCACGCCGGTCACGAACCGCACCGCCGCGAAACTGGCGTAATCGGTCACCAGCGCCGACGCGAACGCGCAGGCGAGGATGGTGACGGCCGTGGAGAGGAAGACGGGTTTCCTGCCGAACCGGTCGGACAGCTGGCCGCTGATGGCCGAGCCCACGATCCCGCCGAGCATCACCCACGACTGCAGCATGGACAGCAGCGGCTTGCGGCCGCACACCAGGTTCCATTCGGTCACCACGGTCGACTCGTACATGGACGTGTCGAACACCCAGCGCGAGCAGGAGGCGCCGGCGTCACCCACGGGGTGACACCGGGGCGTGTCGGCCGGCAGCGCAGAGAACGTGACGTTGGCGTCGAACCCGTCGGCACATCTGAAGTCGGGAGACGCGCCGACAAACATCATCGCCATGCTGATGGCCGGCAGGATGAGCCAGATCATGGACATGTAGGAGACGAGCAGCACCTGCCAGCGGCCCGAGCCGCAGCACCACTCCATCACGTCGTCGAAGAAGACGTCCTTCTCTGAGTCATCCTCGTCGTCCACCGGGGCGAACGTCCGCTCCGCCACCACACTCTTCTTCGCTGCATCGGCCATCGCTGGCTGATCAGTGTTCAACACCCACGGCTATGTGATTACAAAGTCGATAATTCTTATCTCGTCTCAATGAGAAGTAATTTACCTCTGGGCGAAAAGACACAGTCGATTCTCCAAGATGCTCTATAAAACAGCGGCACTGCGCGCGATAGAGGGGGCGCGCTTCTCTGACCTGACCCTTAGAGGAGTGAACGTCTACTGATGCCACCGGCCCCGGGCCGCACCGGACGACCTCATCACTGATTGAAACAACTGCATCCGCCCTGAACCGAGTAACCGTGACGGAGCGCAAACGCTATACGAGGTTGTTCGTTAGACTGCGCGTGTGTATTGTGTGACCGGACATGCACAGTAAGTCCACATCAATGATCATATCCACATACATATGTGCATGTTGGGTCTCGATAAGCAATATGGAAATGAAGGAAAGACGTATATATTTAACCATTTCGTAATTAATCTTTCATTCATGTAGATTGATTCCTATAAATTTATTCCTGTCAATAAGCGATAAAGAAATAGCAGCTCATTATTTGATAAGTTAGAAGGCCTCTTCTCGAACCCAGTAGAGGATGGTGCCGGACTGCGGTGCCTCCGGGTGAATCCAAGGACTGTGCTGGTAAGACGTCGTGGTTTCATAGGTCACAAGGGTGCCCCACCAGTAAGAATTCGGGCTCACAGACGTGGTCAGAACGGCAGGTTGGATCCCTCCCGTGTTCAGCCACGGCATCCTCTTCTCGATGCCCTTGTTCTTGTAGGCCCAGTTGTTGAACATTCTCACGATACTGACGTCCGTCTGGCTCGAAGTCTCGTGAACGAAGCTGTAGCTTCTCGGGGCGAACCAGACCCCTCCCCAGCGCCGGCGACCGGTCTGCGCCTGCGCCTCGATCCGGTAGGCGAACCGGGTGCCGTTGCCCAGGTCACGGACGGCGTTGGCGTGCCGCAGGATGGCGTAGTTGTGGGCCAGCGAGGGTGAGCGTTCTGCGCGGCCCAGCACGCTGAGCACATCCCAGCCGTCCCTGGTGGTAGCCGTCAGCAGCAGCGTCCAGCCGCCGCCGTCGTGGCTGAAGTCGCACAGCACCGGCACCGGCATCCCGGTGAACCAGTAGACGCCGTCCTGAGGGTCACCGCCCTGGTCCCGCAGCTGCAGACAGGAGCGGGCGCAGGCGCGCACGGCCGGCTCCTGGTGAGGCGCGGCGTCCGGCGGCGCGGGTGTCGGAGCTGGGTCACAGACCGGCTCCGGCGGGGCCGGGGTGTCCGGCAGGGACCTGGCGCCGGTCACCGGCTCGCTCTCGGTGTCCGCGGTCTCCGAGCCTGCTCCGGCCGGCTGACAGAGGGCGGCCAGCGTCAGCGGCCGGCAGGCGCCGCAGCCCGGCGGCGGGCTCTCACCGTCCCTCTCCAGCCGGCTCTCCAGGGTCTCCAGACGCGCCTGCAGCCGACCGAGGTCGGTCAGCACCGCCGGCCGCCAGTCGGACAGCGCCCGAGCCACGGCCGACTCCACCACCGGACCGAGCAGCTGCGACAGCTGGTCGGCTGCCGACGGCGGCTGGGTCGGCACGGCAGCTGCCCGCTGCACCAGCAGCCAGAGCAGCGCGGCGGCCGGCCACGGCGACATGTCGGGACCGCTGGCGGCGGCTGGCGGTGACTTACTGCTGCTGGCGGCGGTTGGCGGTGACTTGCTGCTGCTGGCTGACGTTCTGCTGATGGTGGCTAACAGATGCTGCTGACCGATGCTGTTGTTTCTGACACGGTCGCCGGCTGGTCGCCGCTAGCTGTGCAGCTGGATATCGCTGCCGCCAAAATATAGGGATGCCGACGAAAGATGTTGCAGGCGGCAGGCAGCAGCAGCTCTCCCACAACTGGGCGAGAGCGGAGAGCAGTGCTCATTTTATTCACCGTCTCATTGATTGTTGACCCATGTCCCAAGCAAGTGGTATTTCCACTACGACCCGTTATTGATTAATGACCTTTGAGTGTTTTGTCATAAACACGCCTTGTTTAACCCGCTAATGCATCAGCGCTGGCAGCACTTCAAATTCAAATAAACACAAACCCTGGGTCAGTCAAGTTCATTTATGATGACTGATGACCTGGAAAACCCAGCGACGAAGCACACGCTGTAGTAAGGTACTTATACATGTCTATGTGTTAGGCATTATAGGCACAGTCAGTCTTCAAACTTCAAAGTACCGAGCATCGGTGCGGTGGATCCATCAAGGCTGACTGAAGAGGGGCTGCTAAATTTGAGATTCACTGAACTCATTGACCTGGGGATAGATGAAGATGTCAATTGATTCAGTTAGCCTCAAATTTGGAAGTCCTTCCTCGCTCGGGGTGGATGGATCCACCGCACAAATGCGCGGTACCTACTTTCAAGACTGACTTAACAGTGTTCAGTCTGTCTTAAAAAAGTAGGTACCTACCTAAGTACCGCACAAAGTAAGGGTGGATGGGTGGATCCATCAAGCCTGCCCGAGGAAGGACTGCTCAAATTTGAGTCACCGAAGCGATGGACATCCTCATCCATTCCCCAGGTCAATTGGTTCGGTGACTTTCAAATTATAGCAGGCCCTTCCTCGGTCAGGTTTGATGGATCCACCGTTACTTTGCGCGCCGTACTTTTAAGCCAGACTTGTGCAGGGACCGAGAGCTCTTTCGGTGTCGGCTAGCTCACCGAAAAATAAAAATTGAACATATGGTCCAAAATATTTCACCGAATATTTATCATAGAAATAAAGTATTTAGGCCGAGACCCCTTTCGAAACACATCGCCAGAGCCGCTACGTCAGATGTGCACCGAGTTGCCGATTCTGTTGTGCCCTGTGACCTAGGACGGCAGGTCGAACCTGCCTCAATGCCTCAGTCATTAACGAATGTCTTCCGCCGCGGCCGCTCCCTCGTCTGTATTGTCTGCTGCCTCCCTCCCACAGTGCGGGGCGGGTCGCGCACGGGTCAGCGGGGCTCCGTTTACCGGGCTGCGTGTCACCCCCGCCGTCTGTGGGTCCGTGCCGCCCCCCGGTCCGTCACTGCACTGACCGTCAATCTGTCCGTCAGCGCAGCGGACAGTGACGGACACAGCAATGGAGCCCGGGGAGCGCAGAGGAGCGGCACGCGCCCCCGACAGTCCCGGAGTGTCCCGACCTGTGACGCAACACCGCCGCGCGAACAGTCCATGGCCTGACTGAGGCGCTGGACTGTCTCGTGGATAGTCCTGAAGGGTCTCCGTTCCGGGAGATCAGACCGTCACGGAGCACGCCAGCCATTCCGCGGGCCGACTCCGTTTGGCAGGTCAAACCGAGCTCCGACATCCCGGTCTGATCGGGCATCCCTAAACGGAGTGCTGACGGTGGCTGGTGGCTGGCAGGTGGGCAGTTGGGCACGCCGCACAACCAGTAGGTACGTACACGCGAGCGAGGCGGGCTGGATACACGGCATAATGGGCAATGGGCATCAGTTCTTTGTGTTTTTCGTGTCGAAGGATGCTACGAGAGGCAATGAGCACGAATAATGACACCGCATCTCTCGGCAATCTTCGAGAATAGAGATGCCCTTTTTGAACCCGCAAACCCGCTTTCTGCGGGTTTTCAAAACCCGCAGGGTTTTTGGCGGGTTCGAGAAGCAAAACTTGTCGTGTGGCGGGTATTTGGCGGTCAGACTTTAGAACCTATAAATTATTTTTTTTTAGATGCAAAACACAATGCCAAGTGCATTTGCTCAGGTTAACAATACAATATTCATCAAAACAACTTTTAAAACAGAACCAAATATAAAAAATATATCAAGGAAGCACATTTCAAATGCAAAACTGAAAACAACCAGCAATAGCATCCACAGTCTAGCAATGACCAAACCAGGGTGCAAACAACAAACTACAAAGCATAAATAAATGCTGATGAAAGCATTCCATAAAACATAAAAGAACCTGAAAGCAAACTTATAGGAAGCTGAACTGAAGTCTATGTGCAGTGTGCACTAGATATACATTATGGAAGAACCCAGATTAAAATGAGATGTTGATGTTGAAAATCAGAGCAAATGCCACATGTTACTTTATTTGCGTCTGGTCGGCATAAAAAAGAGCTAAACAAAAGTTGATGCAAATTCATTGATTACCTATCCTACTCTATGTTCTGTCCCACCCTATATTACGAAAATAACACACCAATTACCTGCAATTACCCTTACAAAAAATCAAAATATTGACTGGCATGCAGCCCAAACATAACGCAATACAATACTGGCGCACTTTCGACATTCTGACAAGGATTGGCATTTGACTGCGTCAATTTTGGTCTCTGAGGCGAAGGAAAGCTGTCATTGATGACGCAATAATAATTTTACAATCAATTTTTCTGTCTTGGTTTTTGAATGCCTCAAAATAGCAGTTATACATGTTACAAAACCACGTAGCTGGTCGCATTTATTTCTTTTGTCTTTTTACGTCCTTATCATTTGTATGCCGATTGCCGAGAGAAGACCAGCCGGAGAGCATTACCAAGACCAACTATAAAATTATTACATTTTATTTAGTATTTACTGTCTCTTTATTTCCTAACCGGTGAATAACCTCTGAATTGTAAAACTTTAGCTGTTGTGTAAAATAATATTATCAGAATGGCACATTAATATGCATTATACAACGGCGTTTTCGCAACAAGTTCGCACTAACTACGGCTGCAATAATTTAGTCGCTGTAACATTCCTTGCAATCAGCTGTTGGTGACGCTTCTGACGCATGTTTCCAAAAATGCGTGGTTCATTGGTTAGTTGGTTTTTGCTGGGCTTTTGCATGATTTGTTTTATGTGTAGATCGACTGGATACGCATTATTCACCGTGTCACTATTTCAGTCCCACGCACAAGGGGGAAAAGCTCAAAAAATTGAGCGCTCAAAAAATTGAGCGGGCCCCATTATGAAGGAATAGGCGAAACGATGGTATTTTACAATGCCTTTAGCGTCACACTACGGCAAATATCGTATCCAAATAAGGTATCAATGGCAAGAGAGAGCAACAAGGTTTCTTCTCGAACACTCGCCGTGATAATTTATATCGGTGTTTTTGGAAAGAAAATGCCCTAAAGACGCTCAACTTTTTGAGCGCCACTTGTCGTTCGGGACCGCGATACTCAATAAATTGAGCGCCACGACAGACGGCAGTCAGCTGGCGCTCAAAAAATTGAGTGCCGGCCAGCATCTACACTCAATTTTTTGAGCGTTCTCCGTGACAGGTGAAGCCGGTACTGGCTGCCATTTTTGATGTTATGTTCGTTGAAATACGTTAAACTGAGTTGAAACAGAAATGCAGGAAGTTGAATGCTACGTGGTACCTAAACTTTTCACAAACCCATGGCATCATGTCACATTTCCGCTAGTAGTTTTATCGGTCTTTCGGATTCGGCACACCTCAAATAATTATACAAGGCTTGAATAATCCGTATGAATACTGTAATTGATATTCTCTGACTGTACTGGGAGAAGGGAATACGTGAATACAGAAAGATATCCACCCACGCTTGAATATTGGAGAATTATAGCAGGAAAAACTGTATTGCCACGGTTACAACTTACAAGGCCATCGGCCGCAAACAAACAAAAATACTATACAGTATACAATGTGGGTTAGATTCACAAACATCAAGTGTGGAACACAGAGACGAGCAAAACAACATCACATTATCGCATGCCAGCCCAACCACATTGGAACCGGGTCCGGGTGACCTGCGACCGGAACCTGCGTCTTGCCAGCATACATCACAAAAGCAGGAGGCAGTGTCGTACTGCTTTGATCCAAAATATGCCATATAACAAATGATATAAACAACCTAAGCTCGGACTAAGCTTATCATTATCAAATCCTTAACATGTAAAGGACGAATGGAAACATCGAGTCTCAGACCAGCAGTAGCAACGATCACAGTAGCAACATCACAAAGAACAAGCGGCATTATCAGACAGCCGTTTTGTTATCGGGCTACAGGCGGCGACGGCGTGGTTGCAGACCAGCTGCGAGGTAGCGGCGTGCGGGCAAAAGGCGCGGGCACACCTCCATGTGGCCGTGCAGACAGTGCGCGGTCGGCGTCGCATAGTGGGCGGCATCGGGCTGTCCCGGGCCGTCGAAGCCGCACAGGTTGTCGGCGCATGTGGGCGCGCGCGGTCACCACGGCCAGCTGCTCACCGCCAGCACAGACTGCGCAGCGTCGCCGCTCCGCCGGCCAGAACACGCAGACAACCCTTCTTGCAGTCGCACAACACGTCGCCAAACTCATTCACCTGCTCCACCATGTTGTTGATGTCACCGAGTCGTTCGAGTTGTGGCTCGTGCCGTCGAGCATGACCTGCCCGATCGGACACGGGTCAGTGGCTTCTGCTCCAGCGAAGTCTTCATCTTGGTGACGTCTTGCTGATCTCCACAAAGGCTGAGCAGATGACCTTACCCACAGGGACGGCCGACGTCCTCGCCAGCGACCGCTTGGTTGTGCAGACCTGCCAGAAAAAGAAAAGCTGTTTGGTGATCTCAAACGATTTTTTTCTTTATGCAGTGGAACAAAACGGAAACTATGTCATACAACAGGAACTAAAAAAAGATGCAGCCTAGGTCGTCTAAGAAATGGGTGAACATTGATAAAATTCTTCATTGAATGAATTCTGCAAATGCTTTTGATAAAATGTGTGGTGATTATAAGGAGACCACTTTACTATAAAATTGCTCAGGATTCCCTATCTGGACCTGTCAAAAAATCCTGACTGCACACCAACAATGAGCATTAAATCCAAAACCTCTACCAGGTACCTAGGGATAATTAAATTCTGATTCAGGAAAATATTTCACATCATACAAATAAAAACCTTTACTATATTGAAACTGAAAATGTGATGCTGATGCAGTGACCTAAGGGTCTCAAAGTATA